GGAAGTAATGGTTGTATTTACATTTGTTGGAAAGAAAAGTATTTCAAGAGTAAGAAATAATGGGTACAATGCTCTGGTGTGGCAGCCCTGAGTTGCTACCCAAACAGCCTAGTGCAGGGGTGTCAAACTTGATTCCATTGAGGGCCGCATCAGGGTTGTGTTTGACTTTGGGGGGCCAGGGGGCGTGACTAGGGTGGGCATAGCCAGCTCAGTGTCACTTATGTCAGGGGCGTCTGTGGTGGCTCAAGTGCTCTGCCAGTGAAAACAGGCTCCCAAGCTCCATTTTCAGCTGGGACAGCCTCCTGCAACCCTCTGCCAGTGAAAATGGAGCTCATGAGGACTGCCCGCGGGCCAGTCCTTCGCTGTTTCCAGGATGGAAACAGGCCAGATCTAAGCACCTCGTAGACCAGATCTGGCCCCCGGGCCTTGAGTTTGACACTCCTGGCCTACTGTATTCCCCATTGTATGCCTGCTAATTCTTTCATAATCCCTTCCTCTCCAGTCTCTCTGCATTTCAAATGGCTTTGGCAGTGGGGAGAGAAAAACAACAGAGCAGGCACAGGACAACATGTAACCATAATGGCAATCATGTCATTGCAGGATACTAAAAGTCATAAATGTAGGCATTGGTCATAAAGTCATTTTTTTCAACACCATTGTAACTTTGAACAATCATTGAACGAGGTAGTCAGTAAACAAGGCCTAGCTACAGCAGCATCTGTCTAGAGTGCACATTCCAGATTTCTGAAATCTGCCAACCACTGCCATTATTACCCATTCTGCCCATTGCCACCTTCTATCTCATTTCTTCTCTCCCACAACAAGCAAGAAGCAACCAAGAGTTCTAGATTACTGTATCTGTGGCCCTTGACCACAGTCTTGTGGCACTGACACAATAGAATAAAATCCCAAAGTCCTGAACTTCCATCTTAGTTCTTTTCTCTTTCTATTACCATAATCACTTTCAGAACTTGAATCCTGCAGTTTAAGCCAATGGAGGAAAAACAAGGGTAGGAAAAAGTAAAAGCAACCTGACTGGGTAACACTGTCAGAGCCTATAATGGGGAGAGGGTAAAAAAGGGAAGTGGGGGAAGAAAAGGTGGTTGAAGTGAGTGAAATAGACAGTAGCAGGCTTAATATTTCCTGAAAATACAGGGCCTACAATAATTATATTGATTCACAATCAATATGTGAATAAAACACATGACTACCTTGTTCAGGTAGAGTAAGAACATGGTATCCAGCTCCACCTTTATCTGCAAATCCTCCAAAGGGAACCTTCCAAAATTAATCATAACACACCATTTGAAACTCTTGATTTAGTGTGATTGACAAGATCCCTCTCCTCCAAAAATGGCAAACGGGCATATTAAATGCAGATGATGTAAATCAATTGGTCACTGTTACTGCCCTCTGATAGAGTTGGATATCTAATCTCAAGAAATCGGCTATTGGTATTCAAATGATCTGGTATAGAATGTCTAAGATGCAAAAATAAAACTTTATGGAAGTTAATGGTTGATAGATTTTGTAGAAAAAAGTAAATAGTGTTTTGCAATGTAATGTGATATATTTTGGCACTTGGATCATAAAAAGAATTTGACGAAGGTTCAAATTGCATACTGCTTATATATAAATATCTCAGAACAGCTGCTTGGAAATAGTAGCCATCTCATTCTTTATACATTTTAAACTATTAAGTGAGGCTGCGATGTCCAATAAATAAGCTAAGAACATTTTAAAGAAACAGGCAAAATGATTAAGCCTCATGAGTGTCTCATGTGATGGTCTTATGTTACATCATTGTGTTAAAGAATATGTAAACAATTTTTCCCTTACTAAGCTATTTAGTATATTTTGTTAATTGAAGTTGCTGTGAAGAGAGCAATTCCCAGATAAGGGTGATAGTTTAAAACATAATAAGCGTATTTATAGCAGCAAAGTTATAAAGGCGTTCCTATAAGATTTAATGAAAACATTTTTCATGCTGCTCTACATAAATAGGATTATAATCCATCATAATACCAGGATACAGCTTTGGCTAGGATGCAATTTTGCCCATAATGGTGCTTTCTTGGCAGTGAAAAATGATCCCCTGAAATCAGTTCAGGCGATCTGAGAGTTGATTGCAGTAGAAATTTGTTTTCTCCAGCTTTGCCTATAATTAAATAAAAAGCTTTTTTAGGACCACAGTAAAATACTGAGAATATGGGGAAATATTTTAAAGGACTAGTGCTACACCAAGGTGCAGGTACAATGACCTAAAGACTAAGGGGTCACAAGTCATGGTTTATTTAAATAGTATACAGGGGAAACGAATAAATGAAATTGAGAAATGCATGGCATAGAAAGCAAATTGAAAGATCACTGTAGGAATCCAATTAAAACATTGCTGATAGATGGCTCCCCAGTCAACGCATCCAGTAACAATAACAATCTCTAGTTAGATTGTTGAATTGTTCAAATGGAATCTGCCACCTATTATTTTGTGTCATGCCCTATCAGATGACAGAGAGTAGCATTGAATAATTTCTTGTGACAGTATTTTAAAAATGTTAAGTACTATCGTCTTCCTCAGATTTTGGAAGAATAAGACTTCAAATTTCTTTCATTTATCCTCCATGATTTTTCAAAGTTCAAGGGAGGAAAAATCAGGAATTAAAAATTCTCAGCTTTCATTACAGAAGTCAACAGGGTAAATGGCTGTTTGGTTTATCTATAACATTAGCAAACTATATTCTGCCAGTGCAAGAGAACGAGAGAATTTTTGCAGAAAAGTAGTTGATGTGTCATTTGACCAAGTGAACAGAACCAACATCAGTTGTATAGTACGTCCAAACCAGAGGTGGGTTTCAGCAGGTTCTGACCAGTTCTGGAGAACCGGTAACAGAAATTTTGAGTAGTTTGGAGAACCGGTAGTAAAAATTCTGACTGGCCCCGCCCCCATCTATTCTCTGCCTCCCAAGTCCCAGCTGATCAGGAGGAAATGGGGATTTTGCAGTAACCTTCCCCTGGATTGGGGAGGGAATGGAGATTTTACAGTATTCTTCCCCTGCCACGCCCACCAAGCCATGCCACACCCACTAAGCCATGCCACACCCACCGAACTGGTAGTAAAAAAAATTGAAACCCACCACTGGTCCAAACTCATGTTAAATTTAACAATTCACTTCAAATTAGAACTGAAGTATGGCATTGTAAATCTTTATTTTTAATATCAAAAGAGTAGCTTGATCTGTAATGAAGATTGCACAAATGATTTTGGAGCAAATTATTTTAGTTCTATATAGACAGGATAAATAAGTAAATAAATTCATTCATTCTTTTATTCATTTCCCCCAAGATTGCGGAATCTGATTTCTAATTCTATACAGACAATATAAATCCATCCATCCATCCGCTTTTCATAGATTCATTTTTTCAGTTAAAAACATAAGCCTTTAAGCATAATATTATGCCTGTAGGAAGCATAATACTGAAGGAAAATCAAAGACTGAATTTTTTAGCTTAAGCATGAGAAAATATTCATGGTAACTGGTTTCTATGTCACCCAATCACTGCAATCTAATACGTTTGTACTTTTTAAAAGCGCTTTGATAATATAAAAAAGTCTTTTTATCAAAACCAGAAGAGGGCACCATCCTTCCTTTCTCAGAATAGATCCCCAGTTCAATTCCGGAAACTAAGAGCTTGCATAGCAACTGAATCCTGGAAAGTCTTCAAGTCTGCCCAAATTAATTAAAGCTAATGCTGACTGGTGGCTCCTTTTCTGGCTGCCGTCCTTACTTAGATTAATAAAACCAGATCAATACCAGACAATTGGTATATAAAGCAAGATTTTTTTTTCTCATTCGTAAGGAAGAAAATAAATTTGATCCTTCCAATTAAAAACCTTTTGTCATTTGGCAGCAAGTGTTGTGTTTCTCCCAGAGACTGTCATGTGGTGGTAACTTTATAAAGTTATAAAGTTAACATAAAAGATGTTCTTGGGTGGAGTATAGTCTTAGCTAAGTGATGTAAAATTGTGTGTTTGTCTATTGCTGGGAATAGAGCTGAATCTAAGTTGCTCGGTGGCCAAAATATTCTCTGATAGCATCCAATTCAATATTTTATTTGATATTAATCCAAAATATTATTTGCTAATTAGATATAAAATATTAATTGGTTGACCATTAGCAGGATCACATTTGTATATACTGTGAGGGTGGTAAAATTAAGCCAGCCTTTTGAAACATAAGGAATTATTTATAGCAGTGAAAAAAGATGTTAACGCAGAGACCCTCACCAAGCAGATTTTAGAGCAGAAACTCTGGTAAAATTAAATCTTTGCCTGGAATGTTGTTGCTTTTCAACTGAACTTTACTTTGGGGTTTTCTCTTTAATTTGGAAGCCAATTGGGAAGGGAATAATTTATTAGCAGGATGTAACAGATATTGCTTAGAAGTGCTCTGAATGAGCTACAGAAGTGTTTATCCCAGGCCTCAAGAAGAATTAAGTCGCTACTTGTAGAATAGAAGAAAAAAGGAAGTATCTGGGGAATAAATTTTGTAACTAAAATGGTATTTTGGATTGTATGATTCCTTTATATACCATTTTAATTATTTTAATTATTTCTTGAAAAATTGACATGAAACAAATATTTCTATCTAACACTAATGTTTGTTGTGATCTAAGAAATTTCTTATTCACTTTGATCAATCCAAAACGGTTTCATATGATGTGATAAACATATTTGTTTTTAAAGTTATATTTAACTGAGAATATTTTAAGACTTCTTATAAGCTTTATTTTCCAGTGTTTCCCAGTGAATATATCCAAATGTAGTTTGAATGTTTTTCTGATTTTCCGCCAGTTCTTGTATCGAATAATATTAAATACAGCATAATTCCAGGATGAATTTACATGGAATAAAAACAAAACATTGGCAACACATTGTTAATCACATTCCTTTTTATTTCTCTCCTTGTTTCTGACCGTTTTTATTGTTGCTTCTTTTGTAGGTGGCCATTTTTTCCACCGTAATTCTCTCTCCCCTCGGAGCCTCGTCTACGAGAATGATTTCTCTTCGATCGAGCCTGTCTTGGACATCTACGATGAGAACAAGACCTGAAAGGGAATCTGCATTCTTCTTGCTTTGCTCTCTTTCCCTTTCCCTTTTCCGTTTCTCATTCCTATTGTTGTGTACTCCTTCCATGGATGTCCTTTGTCTGAAGAAGAGCTGCCTTTTTCCAGAACTTGTGCCTGGCTGCCAGGCTGCAAAGGTGAAGCTCAGCTGAGGCAATATCTGAGGATGACGTCTCTGAACAGATGAAGTATGTGCACAAGGTCGGCTGTTGGAGGTTGCCGAGTTGACAAATTGCCATTAGCAGTGCCAACGTGATGGTGTCAGTATGCTAGAGATTTTGCCCTACTCCGTTTTAATTTTGTACAACAGTCCTGTCTCTTGAGTAGGCACGTGATAGTTCTCTTATTTTCCAAACCAATAAATTACCGTGTTTGCCAGCTTACTTGCCTGATGCAGGAGCTGATAGGCTAACTGCCCAAAGTACTCCAGTTACTTTTAATTTTGTCCTTAATCTCACATTGAATACTTCCATTCCAAAGGGATCTACAATATATATATATATATACATATATATTAGTAGTTGATGTTGCGGTTTAACAAAACAAGATATCACAACAGCAGCATAGCAACCTATGACATTTTCCTGGATTTGGAGGATTTTTTTTCACATCCTATTGTGGCTAAATATGGTCAGATGTTGCTTGGTGAGAACGGAACAACAGACACAGAAAGTGACATTTTTACAGCCTTTTACTGACTTTCAAAGATTCCGTTGAGATTTATAAACCCAATCTTTGAGCGCGACATGATTAAGACTTCTTAAGAAGAATCCAGGAATCAAAAATATATATTATTGCTTGATTTTTAAGATACGTGTTCTTTTTTCACTCAGATTTTTAAGAAGCCAACAATATTGGTGTTATATACTAAAAAAAAAAAAATCTGGAAGCTTCCTTCCTACATGTTTTTACTTGAGGTAACTGTATTCGCAAAGCAACACTTTTCTGAAGCTAATTCTGTTCCTGAGGAGATCACTATTATGAAGCACGTGAGGAAGACAGGCAGCTGGGGCATTAAATGCTGGAGGAAATCAGTTTTGATTAGAATGGTGAGACACGGTAAAAAAAAAAGTATTCTGATGCAAAAACGGACAGGTAAAAGGACAAAAACAATCATGTTTTTAAAGCAGCCAAAATGCTGCTTCAGCAAAAAAACAAAAACCAGATCTGAACTATGTTATGGGGTTCCTTAGTTAGTTTTTCCTGCTAAGGAAGCTCTGTAAAATAAGTGACAAATGTCATTTTTCCCCATTGCAAATTTGAGCTCTATAGATATAAAAATGATACATTATGTGAAAACAAGCTTGATTCTATATGAAGCTTGATTGATGAAAAAAAAACCTGAAACTAATTGAAAGGTAAGGTATGTTATGTGCGTGACTTGTCGCTTAGACAGCTGAAGCTGTAAATGAAGAGACATTATTGGGGTTTTTTTCCTACAAGGGTTGGGCTTTGAAAATAATCACTTCTGCCCTGGAATGTAGTCATGCTGAAACTTCAATGCAAAAAATGTGAAATTAGCTCTGGACTCTTTGCTAGGTGGAATGCTTAGCCAGTGTTGTTAGGAGGGTCATTCTATAGAGCTGATCATTCTTGACTGGTTGATATATAGAATTTTAAGGATTTAGCACTGGCAGTGTGGACGTATATGTACATGTATGTGCCAGATAAGTTTCAATATACTCCATTAGCCATAAAAAAAAAAACAAACCCTCGCAACAAAATTCTTTTAGAAGCACAGTTTTGACATATTATGAATTAAAATTTAAATGGTTAGGGTGGGGGTTAATAGTATTGAGGACAGGTGTAAGACCATTGTGATATTACTTGAATAGACAAGACAGAAAAACCCTGCATTTTTTTTCTTTTCAGACTGCCAGTATCCTGTAGTTATATTTATCTATCAATAAGAGACAGTGTTATCTTATGTGAAGTGCTCTCTTTTGGAAAAGTGTGTAGTGCATAGCTGCAGTTGTGATAATTCTAAAAAAAATTCAGTACCTTTCATATTAATTATAAATCTACAATTATTGATTACCAACATCATTGGCATACCTTATGTTTTAAACATAATCTAGCTAAATTTATTTTTAACCCAATGTTGACCAAGTGGAGACCTGACCTGAATTATTATGATACTGAGAACATTAAAATCTTTAATAGTCATTGAAACTTTAATAAGATTGGTGGGCTAATTAAAATGTCTCGTATTGGAATAGCTCCACACAGTTGACTCATCCCTGAAAATACATATATATCTTTGGAAACAAACACATATAAGGAACTTTAAGAAAAGAGGAATCCAGAATTTTTCCCATTTCAATTCCATTAAACTCAACCATTAAGGAGATTTAGGTATAACTAATATATTTTTGATTGGGACAAGGCAGAATTTTTTAAAGAGGGGGAGGTCATTTCACTATATGAATTGTAAATTCAAAAAATGTGTTTTAACAGATATGGAAGTTTTCTATATCCCATGTAGGATATAGGATTTAACTTTTGTGCTGGAATCATTCTATATGGATAATTAGGGCAATTATGGTTTGGGCTACCATCTAATCTCCTGATCCCCAGTTGTGTATGTGTGCACTTTACTCCATAAATCGAACTTTTACCTGACGTATACCGGATAATACCAAAACACAATCTCATCTCTATTTTCATTGGCAATGGCATGCTGGGATCTTGGAGCATAAGAGTCCTTAGATCTTCTGAAACTGGAAATACTAGGGACAGAATTTTCATGCAAAGACCTTTGCTTTACCACTAAACTCTAATTCTGCCTGGTTTCTTTTGCAGATAGGTAAGCTATAACTATGAGTTGTAGCTAGTTTTCCAATCACTAATACTTTGATTGTTGCCCAAGTCATTAAAAGCAGCATTATCTGGAACTGAAAGTTCTAAGATTAAGACATGAAATCGTTAATAATTCTAGTTGCCTGTCAACTCATTTTGGTCAAGATTTATAATACAGATGTTTTCATATCCTGAGATTTGATGTATTTATTTATTTATTAAATTTATTGGCCATCTTATCACAGGGTAACTCTGGTTGGCATACAGTATTAAATTGATAAAACTATATAAATAAAATGCTACAATAACACAGAAATGCAAAATACAATATGTAGCCTTAGCTAAAAGATGGTGTGGGAGAGAGTAGGATGAAGGGGGGGGATCTATTATATGTGACACATAAAGTGTTGTTTCCTGAAGGAATTTTATCACTGTAACAAAAAAGCTGTTATGTGTTTTGTTTTACAGGCAGTGCAATTACACTTGTCTAATCAAGTGAACAAGAGTCCTTAGCCCAGCTTCAAATTTTGGGAAAGCATTTTATGGACATTTGGGCATAACTACTTTTTACCCCTAGGTTATGCTATTAGAAATTGAAGAAAGGGATTCAAAAAGATTGGTTAACTGTTAGACATTATGCTATTGTGATAACTATGTGGACTCTTTCAGAAAATATTGCAGTAAATGTAACACTTAGTTATACTAATATAATAGTCTGAATTTCACAATGTTCCCAAACTACACAATTGGCAGCCCCAAGAATACCCATTGCCTGAGGCCTACTCCTCTGCTCTCCACCATCCATGTGCTTTCCCTGGCAATGTTAACACCACCCCTCCTCCTCCAGCTGGACCGATGGTGGGTTGCTCCCGGTTCTGTCCAGTTCTTGCGAACCGGTAGTAAAAGTGGTGGGAGGCTCCACCCACCCTCCTGGACATCATAATGGACGATCTGCGCATGCGCAGAAGTGTGCACGCTTCCATTGCGAACCAGTAGTAAAGGTAAGTAGAACCCACCCTTGAGCTGGACACTCAATAGATGTTGCTCAGAGGGCATTCCCAAAATGGAATGCTTATTCTGAAGGACCATGCCTTTAGGCCCAATGATACCCAACCTGTGTCTCGTGATTTTCCTGGACATCTCTCTGACGGTCCTTTTCCATTTTATATGGATGGCCAAGAGGAAGGGTATATGCCTTTTCTTGTGGGTATTTCAGGCCTTCCACATAGCTTTTTTACAGTATCAGAAAGGGACTTTTAGTAAGAAAGCTCATTTCATATGTTAATTTCCAGAAGGGTGATTCAAATCATTGTAATTTAATAACCTGAAGAGAATATCATCAATCAGAATATCATCAGCTTCTGAGGAATGTAAAAAAGAATATTAACCGCACATCCCAAATATTTATATAGAATAAAAATACATTCTGCGTACTAGATATTTGAAACTGCAATTCCCATGACATCTTCTTATTTGCCCTGGTACTGATGGACGTCAAAGCTGAACCATCTGGAGGGGCATCAATCTGTCTAGCTTACTTTGCTGGAATTCTCCATGTGTCCCTCCTAAGTATATGGTAAAAAATTGAAATAAAGTAAGATTACTACATGATTAATTCATATTGAATAAATGCGATATAGCATAGCCTTCATAAATTGCTCCTAATTACAATTTTCAAAAATGTAGAGGAATCAATTTTTCTCTATTCAGAAATAGATTGTTGGCCCCAAAAGCAAAGGAAAACATTGTTCAGTAAACCAGTTGTTCCACAGCCATGTTTTTTTATATAGTAAAATGAAAGCTTAAAAGTTTCAAGCCAAGTGGCATAGCAAACTATGGCTATATCCACACTACAGAATATCTGCTTATGTTATTTTTATTGTCATGCTTTCCCCAAAAGTATTCCAACATACTGTACAGAAAATGCTAAGGATTTAATTAGCAATCTCTATTGCTTTCCTAGTCATCAACCTAGTTAGCTTTATATCAAAAAGAGAATGGTGGTACAGTCTAACTTTAACAAAGATGATTCATTATATAATTCAGTGAATGTTAAAAATGTACAGTCTTCATGCATATATCTAGCCACCTGAACTGTTTTAATTGAAATCTTTACTAAATTTCCATGAGCTCATTTTCAATTAGTCACGTTACAATGTGTTTCGTTTACGGATTTTTCTAATTAAACCTGCTACTTAATTTTTCCTTGTCTCTCGATACATGTTCCAATTTATACTATTCTCCCTTGCCTTGCATACACCTGTATTAATACTGTTCCTCACAGCTGTTATTTATCATTCAGTTTCTATCCAAACGATATAGAATTTGTGAGAGTGGGAGAAAGTGTAGGAAGTAGAGTTTCCCAGGGCTGGCATGTTGAAAGAGTCAATACAACTTCCATCTTATTGTAAGCATGAGAAGCATAAAGCAGGATTTCTGTAATAGGAAGGGTGGGAGAAAATGCGTTGGAAGGAAGCTTAAGAGGGGGAAAAGGGCTACAACTGCACTTGTCAGAGAGCAATAAATGGGAGTAGTTACAGTGTCTACGCTGTGATTAAGTTTCCATGTTAACTGTGTTGTAATGAGTGTCTTGGGAAGCAGTCAACACTGCATTCATTTGAATTTCTGGAGCTAGACAAAGGCCTGAAGAAGCATTATGATGTTCCATTATTGTCAGTTGTTTACAGTGATCTCTAGTAGGGAAGGACAGGTCAAATCTGCTGTGTCCCAATTATTTCCCAGTGGTTTAACACAGGTTTCCCCAACCAGACAATGTACAGAGATGGCATTAGAATCTACAGCGTCTCAAACTAATCCAACTGGAAGTTGGTGTGGATGGGGGAGAGTAATACTTTTAACAGCTGTTCATTTATTCTTATATATGATTTAATTAAAAAGCAAATCAGGTTTATAACATCTCAATAGAAAGAGTGTATCTTGACAGTGCAATGCTACTCTTTGTCAATTGAACTATAGCTTTGTCTTTATTTTGCCTTCTTGCTTATTAACTTTTCCCCTTGTTCTTTCACTACATCAATCCATATTATCCATGGCCTTGAAGATATTTTTATTAGGGACTATTATGCTAAGTGAAATGGCTACAGATATTGATACAAAACCTTACGTTGACAAGGCAACGGCGTGTTTTGGTGTCCATTCAGAAGCTGAACAGTTGCAATGAAACATTAGCAATGTATGTCTACTGTCCTGCTATTTCCAGGGATGAGTGGAAAGGATTTTGTGCATTCTTTCAATTCTTTTTATACTTGATGCGTATAGTCTTAAATGTGCATTGTAGTTGTACAGAAGCAACTTAGCTGCAGAAATTGCTGCTGCAGACTTGCACATGAAGTTAAAGTGAGCAAAACGAGTCTCAGAGAGAACTGTATTCACTTATGAGGGCTATTATATCTGGGGCTAGGCAGGAAACCAAGATAACAGTGGGAAAGACAAGGGAGCAGATATGCATTGATCCGTAAGTTTACATATCCACATAGTTCAGGAGGACTTGCTGCTCTGAGGTCTATCCCCACGTATGTTTGCATTATCCTCAATTTTAGAAGACTCATGCCCACAGACTGCAACCTCAATCATGCTGCTTGGTTATTTTAGTTCAATGTATTAATAAGTTCAATGTAATAAGTTTATCCAGATGCAATTATTGGAGAAAATTATATTTCTTCACTTAAAAAGATAGTACTAGATAGGTTCGTTTATATTTCATCTTCAATTGCAGAGGAACTCAAAGCTTATCGGCAATAAGCCAGTAGTGTGTAAGTCCAGATATGGGCTGAAAATTAGCAAAATCCTCTCATGAGCTGTTCTAGACATATTAATGGATTTGCTGGAAGAGGAGTTCTGGTTCACTTTTCCCACTGTCCAGAATATGAGGAAATAAACCCTAAGGTGTGACTTACATGCCCTGGGTTGGATCTAAACAGAAAATACTTTATTCCATCAGTTGTTCTAAATTTATATTCAGTGCTTTTATTTACTCATATGTAATATAGTTATAATACCTACCTCACAAGAATTGTGTGAGACTTCATTCATATTTATGAAGACTGGCAAGCTTTTTGCATGAATGGTGCTATGTAAACGCTTGTATGTGTGACCATTTTGAAGATGTTGGCTTGTTTGCTCATGTTCTGATTGCCCCTTTTTTTCCCTTATAGACGTCAGGCATTCTGAGGTGCTGAATCATATTAATGAAAGCTTTGTGAAAATACCTTTTTGTATATTTACTTGAATTGTCTTCCTTTCTCTTGATTCTTTCTGTGTTTGTTCACTTATGCTTGATTAGTCTGCTTGTAGCTCTCGACTTTTGTGCATCCAAGTGATAGAATCGAAGGGAATATAATTTCAAGAGGATGTTCTTAATGCACTTAATTGATGTAGTCCTAATGTTTCCCGGATGCCTACATTAGTTTTAAGAGTTGAATGATTTATCTCCTTGGAATTGCTGGTGTTATCCATAATTGAATTTTAGCAATGGCTAACTAATAAATATGTGATCTTTCAAATAAATAGATTTCTAAAACTGCATGTTTTAATTGCATTGAAAATCAGTGCTTAAATTATAGAGGGAGAGGACAAGGGTCTGCATGAAATCTAAAACCCCAGCTTTTGACTTCACCCATTTTATGGAATCAGGGGTTTTCTTTGCAGCTCTTCCCAAAACAGCAGATAAAATACAGTCCTCACTTCCCCCACTGTAATTTGAGCACTGCTGGTGGCTCCAGGGAGAGGGTGAAAAAAAAACCTTAAAACGCCCAGCTATCACATTTGCTAATAAGTTAGCGAGGCTGATCTGCATCAACTAAAAGCACATATACAATAGCTGTCACTTATGTAGCTCTGTAGCTTGGTGAAACGAGTGGCCATTTTTCCAGCAGTGAAGCAAATTGCAATTTGAATGGCTTTGATTGTCCTATTTCCCTTTCCAAATAAACTTCTTGTCTTGGTTACAGCCAAGGACTGGGGGAAAAAACGATTTTGCTATAGTTATGATGGTAGTAGTGATGGTTAGTATAATGTTATTTGTTCCAGGAAGAATTAACCTCAATCTGGTATTACCCAGGCACTATAGAAGAAGGTTTGCCAGCTTTTGTATCCATCGGCTTCTGTGCCTTTATTAGTTTCACCTAGGCCTTGTAGTTCAATTGGTACCCTTTGTCCTGGTGTATATCTGTGGTGATGAAAGAGAGCTGCAAAAATTGAATTCTTCCCTGCTGTTAATAACTGAAACCACACTGAGATTTGCCAGGAAAACATGGAGGATAAATAGGCAATTTCTCTGTGGTTGTGGAAAATCAGCACTTGTGGGATTTTTATTTTTATTTTTTATTTTGTGATGCGCAGCCATCAGAATGAAGCCTTTGTTTCACTGCACTCCTGTTTCCTCTACATCTGCACATTTGTCACTGAAATGATTAAAGTTTCACACTAAGCCTTATGTCAGGGAAAAAACATCTTTCAGAAGTGCACAAAAGCTAGAAGTATCTCAGTTATTGAGCAGCTTGCAGCAAAAGAAATGGTTTATCAGGAAGATGCCCTTTCTGTGCCATTTAAGGGCTATGCATTCAAATGCTTTTAAGATTTGTGGCTTTAAATAAGAAACGGGCATTCTGTTACAAATATACAAAGGATTGGTTTAAAATGTCAGACCCATTTCAGTGATTGCGCTGAACCATGATTCGAGCGTATGTAACATCTTAAGTCCTAGCTCTTTTCCCAAATAAGATTCTGCAGATAGCTATGTACTTAACGGTGTTATGTCTGCTCAGGATTTCCAAATACAGGTCAACATTAACTATGCACAAAACAAAAAAAGTAAAAAAGAATGTTGAGAAGGATATTGGAGCAAGTGGATTTGACAAGTGAAAGTTATTAAAATACCAAATGCTGAGTGTGTAAAATACAATGACAGGGCTTATGTAATTGAATAATTTATTGCCATATTGTGAGTTATATTGATGAGAACAGTGAAGAAGTTGAACGATCCAGAAAGCTACTAGAGGCTGGCAAAGTGAAAAGGACTATTTGCCTTGAGTTTAACCTTGGCATGTGCAAGCAGTGTGCCACCCTCTTGACAATCGAAAATTTCAGACTTGTGTGATAAACTGTAGCCTGGCAGCCACAAAAAAATCATAGTCTGCATATTTTGATGTCAGTAGATTACTGTATTGTAGCTGTGTGGTATATGCTGAACCATTAATGGTGTATACCTTTATGTTAGAGTTTGCTAATGTAATACATTTCAATAAAAAGCTGTTTAAAGACAGTCTTGTTCAATGGAAGCTGTGTTTGGGAGAACTGCATTGCTTGCTAAATCCCAATGCATAACCTGTAGGATTATTTTTGGATACAGGGCCCAGCATGTCTGTGAGTTGCAAGCTGGCTGGTCATATGTTTATGTCTTTTCCCTCTTCTCCCCACCTTATCCCACTTGGAAATTCAAAATGACAGACACACTCCAAGATTAAGGCATCAAAAAAGGAGGAGACTAGTTTAGGAAATAAGGATGGTAATTTTATGTCTCCAAGGAACCAATTCTAGAAAAATCAGAGAGCGGTGCTCTAACACTGCATTCTATTCATATTAATTTTATGTTGCACAGTATTCTGCCTTTCATTATCTTCCGGGGAAACCATATTAAATTTCTTGAGGGAAAAGAGTTAGATGGGAGAAAAGGGGAAAAAAAAGAATGTTGCTAGAGCCCAAGCTTAAGATTTATGGCTTCTATCTACACAGAACACTGAGCATAAAAATGCCAAATGGATATAAGTGATCTGTGGCAATTAATATGTTTTAGTAAAAATCAAGAAGGCAAACTACAAAGGAAGTTATCTTTTCCAAGATCTACGGATGGAAAATCTCCTATCCCAAGAACTGGAAGATACAAAACTCACAACAACTTAATCTTGGTATGGTTAAATAAACCCATCTAGACTCATATAACCTCTATCTGTTGGGATACAATTTTGACATCATCACTTGGTTGGGGACAAATATGTATACCTAATTATCATCAATGGATGATTTATGCTGCACCCCGTACCAATGAAAGACCTCATGTAGGAGTTTACTCTTTGTCTTCCACTAACACCTACTGGAACTGGCCCTGGATCAAAGAAGTGAGCCACCATAGCACCATGCTTCCCCCAACATCCTAAGACAGTCCAGAAGAATACCATCTGATTTCAGTGATACGTACCCTGGGGACCTGGCAACTGGATTCCTGCAGCATGCATTGGGTGGCCTTTGAAGATGATTTGAAAATTGTGACTAGTTCAGAAAGCAGTGACTCAGTGACAAGTGGCATTTCTTGAGGTGACCTATTACTCACTGTCTGATAGAATTGAAGGCTGCTGAAAGATTAAGGAAGGCCAGAATGGTTGCACTGATCCTGAGCCCACCAGAGATCATCAGTAAGTGCCACTAATGCTTTCACAGTTCTGTGCCTCAGTCTGAAACCAGACTAAAAGAATCCAGATTACTTTGGGAAAGGTGCGGAAAGCAACTGGCAAACCGTGAGTGTCACTGAAGTATCACTGAAATCAGAGGGCTGTTCACCAGGCAGGGGTGCAACCAATTAAATATATCAGCCATGGTTGGGAAGTTATCTAGCACCATTATTGACTCCAGAGTGCAACTCTTTAAACACAAACTTTCTTTACTAGGTTTATCCAGAAGCTTGAAATGGTTAGGGCTGCTTTATGAAGAGCAAGGAGTAAAGTCCTGAAGAATTCTCCTGTGCAATTTGCGACCATTGCACAGCCCTAGAACCTAAACAGCAGTGGCTTAATCAGGTAACCATGGACAGGAAACCCACAGATTAGCACATTATATGATCTTATATAACTATATAATATAGTTGATAGATAGATAGAGAGATAGAGAGATATAGATTAGATATAGAGAGATAGAGATTATAGATAGATAGATAGATAGAGAGATAGAGAGATATAGATTAGATATAGAGAGATACAGATTATAGATAGAGAGATAGAGATTAGATATAGATTATATATATATATATATAGAGAGAGAGAGAGATTAGAGAGAGAGAGGGAGGGAGGGAGAGAGGGAGGGGGGAGGGAGAGAGTATAAAATATTATATACAGCGCGTTATGTAACAACCTCAGACATCATAGCCCACCTTCCCCTCAACAAAAGCCAGCCTGATTTTCGTTTTAGTTCGGTTCTAGTGCTAAGCAAACACAAAGATCCGGGTCGCTCTCAAGAAAAATAACCGTGTGATAACGGTTATTTCATATATATGTTCAAATAATAATGATAATGATAATGATGATAATAATAATAATAATAATAACAACAACAACAACAACAACAATAATAATAATTTTATTTCTATACCGCCCATATATATGTAAACAATAAAAATATTTTTCAAAAAAAAAGAAAAGAAAGAAAAATAACCGTCTGATAAATACAGCCCCCAATGTTGGCGTTTGTTTGGCCGCAATAAACTAACCCGAGCGAAGGGGAGGGGGGGCTGGGTGGTGGGTGGGAGAGCGAATGGCCGGCCTCCTGGGCTGCCCTGTGCCAGCCGCACCGCTAGGGGGTGCCGCCGACAGACGCCGCCGAACTTGCTCGTCCTGACGGCAGCGTAAACGGCCCCGTGACCACCTGTGAGCGCTGGCCCGAGCGCAGGTTCCGAGAGGGGAGCCAGGCCGGGCGGTGGCGGTGGCTGGGCCAGCGCGGCCGTAGCAGCAGCAACGCCATCACCATGTGGCTCAGCCCCGAGGAGGTGCTGCTGGCTAACGCGCTCTGGATCACCGAGCGGGCCAACCCTTTCTTCCTCCAGCAGCGGCGGCGGGGCCACGGCAAGGGGGGCGGCCTGACGGGTGAGTGGAGTCGGGCTGCAGGGAGGGAGGGAGGGAGGGAGGGAGTGGCCGCCGCTGCCACCGCTGCCCGTATGGCCGTGGCCCCGAGCGAAGGAGGCGACGTGCGGAAGGGCCGGGGCCTAGGTTCAGGGAAAACGCCTTGAGCAAGGGGGCCTTGGCATCCTCTGAGTAGGTGGTCTCGCCCTCCCTCCCCCCATCTGCACATAAATGGTTTAAGCCTAACTCGGAGCAGCAGCCTCCAGCGGTTCCAGAGAGGCCTTTGATTGGCAAGATCTCTCCCACCCTCCAGCCGGTTTTCTGGAGATGCTTCTGGCTGGAGAAAGAAGTGTTAACCCGCAAACCACCCATCTCCTTCCACTTATGACTGTAATCTTGTTGCTGGTATCCTTACGATCTATTGATTGACTGTTTCCTAATATGATTTGATTGCTTATTCGTACCCTATGACTGTCATTAAGTGTTGTACCTTATGATTCTTGATGAAGTATCTTTTATGTACTCCAAGAGCATACGCACCAAGACAAATTCCTTGTGTGTCCAATCACACTTGGCCAATAAAGAATTCTAGTCTAGTCCTAGTCCTAGTCCTAGTCCATAGTCCATAGTCCATAGTCCATAGTCCAGTCTCCTTTGACAGGCTTGAAGGATTAATTATGTGCCATCAAGTCTTTATAGTGATTGGCATCCTCTTCTTTTCAGAATGTCCGTCAGGCCTTTCTTTCAAAGGCTGATATTCTATTCTGTTGGGTTCCTTAGGTTATGCTGTACCAGGCATCTACCCGAAAATATATAGGGGAGCTGTTCTGGTGGCCTTATCTTTCAGGCTTCAGCAGTTCATGGAAAAAAGGATGTTGTATGTCACTTAGAAATTGGAATATCTGGGGTTGCTGAAGATCTTATTTTCAGAGATAATAAGGTCATATTCAATCTAAAAGTTACGGTTTTCTTTTTAAAACAGAAACCTTGAATTGCAGAAGTGTTATTTAGATTTGTTATAGATACCCATTTCAAAAGATTCTATTTTCATTAGCTCAAAGGGCTTCCATATTGATGATTCCTACCACCGCTAATCAACAATACTTATCCAGTGTGTTTTTTTTTTTTTTTACCTCAGTCTTTAACTTTTCAAATGCATTTTGTTTGAGAGATGCGTGGTTGTGGGCGAAAAAGAAGAAGCAGTAAAAAAAACAGGAAATTTCTGAATAGCACACACTGTCTATAGCTAAAATGAATTCCTTGGCACTAGAAATTCACAAATATGATATAGATAATCAAGGATGGACGGACGGACGGACAGACAAAACAAACGAACTACATAACAAACATATAAACCAAAAACTCAAAAAGCCAACTCCGATCACCAGGTCTTTTCCTGCCATCAGTTTTCTATGTTTCTGTAACAATATATAAAACTAGAAAATCACAGATACAATATAGATAACTTTAAACAAGATAGTTTTTTTTTTCCTTCAGAAATTTAGTCCACCCTCAACATGGGAATTCTGTAGGTGACTTTGCTGATCACTCTTTCTTAACTCAACCTAACTCACAGGGTTGTTGTGGAGAGAAATAGGATGAGGAAAACTATACATGCCAGCTTAAACTTGTGTAGAAGATGTGGGATGTTAATAAAATAAATATGTCTACATTTTAAGTTTAGATTTCATATTTTGTAAATATGTTGCAAAAAATATTTGCAGCAATGAACTAATAAGTCTAATAGAGAGAGCTTGTAATTTTGTATTTTGTAATTTTAATTTTGATTTTTATAATGACAGCCGTTACTTGACTCATCTACAGTTCTTAAGTGCTAATAAGGGTTAAAACTGTATAAGAATTAAAACAAAATTCCAGTAGCCTATGGATCAGGTGGGGGCAAATAATTTCACAATATTTAACTGTATTAGTAATGTAGGTGCCTAGAGGCCCTACTTCACGGTAAATTCCTTGAAGGCAAACAAGGTCAGAACAGTGCAGCCCTGGGGGTGGGGGGAGGATATTGTTCAGAGACCAGGAGTAGTCTTGCAAGTTTTATTGTCTTGAATAAATTTCCAAGGTAGTTTAAAAAAAGAACCAACACATAAAAGGAGAATTGGTATGTCACTTATCTGATACTAAAATGTCAGCCAGTTTGATACAGTGGTTAAAACACCAGGCTAGAAACCCAGGAGTTCTAGTCCTGGCTTTGGCACAAAGTCAGCTGTATAATCTTGGGTGACTCTTTCAGCCCTAGGAAGGAGGCAATGGCAAACCACTTTTGGGAAATTTTGCAAGAAAACTGCAGTGACTTGACCAGGTAGTTGAGCCCACACTGATTCAAAGGCACACATACAAACATCCAAACCCATGCAAACCATGGCACAGTGGTTAGAATGCAGTACTGCAGGCTACTTCTGCTGCCTGCTGGCTGCT